AGCAGCATCTGTGCGCCTGTCCTCCTTTTCCAAACTGAAGACTCTGTCCACCAAACGCACGCTGATATATTTTTCCTTCTTCAGTTCTGCTGAATGGCATCCCATAGTTTTCCAGCTGTTGAACCCAAATACAAGTATCAGAAATTCTTGTGCATAACAAGGCAAAAGTTATTTTATTATGTTCCTAGTAAGGAGAACTCCTTGGAAGCTAGTCTGTGTTATAAACACTTACAAATATAAATACTGACAAAATCCAACGAGTCTCACCTCTATCACCGCAGCTGGAGCTTGCTCTGTCATGTAGTGTATGGCATCCTGGTCACCCAGCCAATCGGACCCTTTCACTGTGTCATAGAAATGCCACCTCCAGTTATCATCTTCCATGTTTCCCAGGGCAGCATTGATCCCTCCCTGAAAATGAAAATCCATTTCCCTGGAATTATATTACTGAAGTAGTTTTAGTAGGTTTCCCTCATTTCTGTTAAAAATCATGCACCATTTATGCCTCTGTGTACAAGAAATACAGTAAAATCATATTTAATGTGGCTGTGAGAAACCTCTGCAATTCACAGTGGTTCTTATTTTGTTCTGCTTTGTTTAACATACGAAATTGCAAAGTTATATTGAATGCAGCGAAAAAGCACTGAACAGAATCTGAACAGGTATCACCCTTCAAAATTGTTTCAAGTAAACATGCAATATCCATAAGAGGAAGCATGCCCTTGAAACGTGATGTTGATGTACCTATCCAAAGCAGCCTTCTGACAGCAGGGATCTTTTAAATGTTTGTTCTCTCTCATTTCTCACCTGTGCGGCAACAGTATGAGATCTGGTGGGAAATAGCTTTGTAATACATGCTGTATTAAATCCAGCTTCTGACAAACCAAATGCAGCTCGCAGACCTGCTCCTCCTGCACCCACAACAACTGCATCAAATTCATGGTCTACTACCGGGTATTGTGTAGAAATCTGGGAAAACAAATCAGTTTGTTATGATCACAAAGATTTCAAGCTAGGTCAAACTTAAGCTTCATGGAGATTCAAGTAGTGTAGGTTTAATGTTCTCAAAAGACCCTTGCAGCGTTATGTACTCTCCTGTGTGGAAACTATCATTAAAAAGAGATATCCATTTCAAAATTCAGTCTCATTATGTCGAGCGGAACACAAAACATCAATACCCATTTGCTTAATGTCGCTCAAGCATTGTGTTATTATCCAATCTGTTACTTAAGATATAAGTAAGTACAAACATACCGAATCAGAAACCTTTGTAGAAGCATTCTTCTTTCCATAGGCTGTGAAGTGTAAATTGCGGGCAAGAGTCTGGCATGCCACTGGCCACTATGGACAGAAATCAAGACAACTGTTATGGAACGCATTTCACATTAAATGTTTCCACAACGAAGACTTTCAGCATTCTCAGATGCCCTACTTTTATAACAAACCTCTACTTACCACTGATACCACATACACAAAAACATTGTATCAACATATTTGAGAGCTACAGGCAATGGAAGTTTTGGCTTTCCTATACTTTCCAGGGGAAAAAAAAAATAAATAAAAGGAAAAAAAAAAACAACAGTTTTGACTGGATGAGAAAACAGCCCACAGACACCAGCATGTTTCAGGCTGTTATTTTACTTTATTAATACTAACCAGCCTCTCAGACCTATCCGAGGCTGCACTGACAGAAAAATATGTTTGCGATTAATGCTGTAGTATTCTTGCAGGGTTTTTGTTCAGTAAAGATGGAAGATGGCTTTATGAGAACCACAGCAATTAATGGGAAGTACCCCTCATGTCAAGCAATCCTGAGAATTTGAATTATTTCAGGTGGGCAAGAATAATGAAGATAAAAGCAGTTGGTAGGGAAAGCTGTTCCAGCTCATCATTGCTGCAAAAGTCAGAGACATTTCTCTTCTTTTCACTTTCTATTAAATGACCAAATTAGAACCACTTATTAATACCTAAGTGAAGCACAAGGACAGAGTTTCCGCTTCTGTGATGTTATTCCCTCTCCCCTGGCACGTTCAAAATCAAAACAAAAAAACCCAGCACGCAAACCTACTCAACACCCAGGCTTTGCTTTGACAGGTTAAAATAATCACAGTTTTAGTCTTCATCATATAAAACCCCAATGCCTTGGAACCTGGTATACCTTCTTTACACCATTCAGAAAAATGCACCTAACTCAGCATGTACAATGGATAAGAATGGCAACACAGAACATAACAGTGAGCTCTATTTGAAATACATCTCTATTTGAAATACATCCTAAAATGCACTGGGACTGATATTTGCCATTTCCAGCAACTGTTACAGCCATGGTTCAACCATCCTGTAACATGCTGACCAGCAGGCCTTCCCTCCCTGTCACTTCCAAAAGTCCACCTCTTCCCCCACCCCTGACATAAACTACAATACACTTTCCTCAGCCTACTTTTATCATCTCTCGTACTAGTTTGCTCAAATTATCTTCTTGCATAACAGTGAATCTAATGGGTCACCGCACAAACACATTTCTGGTTTTCACAGCCATCTTTTAAGAAAGACCGGTCTTAACTCCTACTTGAAGGAGTTCTACTAGTGCCCTTCTTCAGGCAGCTACTCTCCTCCTTCCACCCTACTATTTTATCACACTCTGGGGCAATTCCATGCTCATCTTAACTTCTGTATTTATCATCTTCATTAATATTTCACATACAGAATCAGATCAACTAGTTCACCAGATGAAACCCAAGTACCAGATGTAGTTTACCTACACAACAGATTACCCAAGAATCACAGCTCAACCTGAAAGGGGGTGTCCTCTCTGTAGGAAAACTGCTTGCACAGGCCTGAGTGCAACTGAAGTTCGACTGCAGAACTGTAATTGACAAGGCAGGCTACAAGGCACACTTTAAATGCAGCAGCCATACATTCTCAAGCATGTATTACTACTGCTTGTTTCCAAAATCTTGTTCCAGCAACAATACAGCTATTTTTACTGCAATAAATTAGTCACCATAAGTGAGCAACAATACATTTGGTTACTGCACCAAACAAATGAAAGAAAATCTATACTGTAGGTAAAGCCAGCACACAACAGGTTTGTACATACTTTGTATTGCTTAAATAAACTGCAAATGACCAAGAGGAAAAAAACAACACCAAAAAAATCCCAAACCCAAAACCTGTAAACTGTTCTTATGCCCTAAAGCTGCAAAAGAAACTGACTAGTTTTTCCTCCCCTTAAACAGCCTGCTGCAGCCTCCAGTCAGAATCCTGCCACAACGCCTTGAACTGATTTCTTTTCAGAAAACTTTCTTATTTTCTGAAGTTGCAACAGTTATCAAATATATTTTGCATCAGAGGACACTGGAAACATATTACAACCCCCCAAACCACACACCTGTTTAGCAGATTGCCTTTTCACAAAACAATTTTCCAAACTGCTATTCCCATCCCCATACTTTTTTGCTACAACTACACATAAGAATTTCTGCTGCCACTAAGTCTTGTTCTGAATAAGCCTGAATAAAAGTCCACAGAGCAAAAAAAAAGTTATACTAAATTTGGAAGGAACACGGGTCGCACTGATCCTGAACTGCTAGCAGGAACATCATGGCCCTTAGTAATTAAAAGTCCTATCAGGGCCAGTTCACTGCCCTCAAACATGTCACTTCTAAGCCCTTCTCCCTGTCAGCTGGTTGCCTTTTCTGCACTTGCTTTACAAGAGAGGGGCACCTACAGCTTCATTTACAGGTTCCTTTTCCCACACACTTATCTTCTGTAATCCCAAACACATCATGGACACGCACGATGAAAACAGTGGAAAGAAACTGAAAACTCCCCCTTCACCACGGAGAAAACCAAGTCTTCACTGCTTGCAGATCAGCTACAACAAAACTGTTAACGACCCTGAAGAAGCACTTCTGCAAACACGTGCTAAGCAGATTCAAGCAACACGCAGACACGCACTAGCTTCCCGAAAGCGCCAGCAGTGAGCTTCCTACCCAGGCGCTGGCCCTGGGAGGCGCCGCCAACTGCCAAGCTCTCCCAGGGCTGTTTCCTGGCGCACCCCGTACCCGCTGCCTCCCTCTGACCCACGGGCAGCCCGCTCACGGCCTAAGGCTACGCGTTCGCTTCCCACTCCAGGAGGAGCGGCCTAGCCACAACCGCAGTCGGTTAAACATCACGAGCCGACCACAAGGACGGCCCCGCTCCGGAAACAGAGCCGGAGGAACGGAGCCTACCGAGGGGGCAGTCGGCTCCCCAGGGCTCTCTGTCTGCTCCGCTGCTGCAGCCAAGCCTGGCTCACCGCCCCAGGGCGGGTGCTGGCCGCCAAGGTCACGGCAGAGACAACGGGGTACGGGCTGCCACCGGCCTCCGCACACCTCACCACAAGGGAGGGCGGGGCAGGCCGGAGCCAGGCGCGCTCCTCCGCCACGGCTAAGGAGACAGGCAGGAGTCGCACGGGGTCCTAAGGCCCAGCCAGCCCGGCCCCCTCCGGAAGGGACTTCTCCGCACCATCTCATCTGCCTGGCCCGTTCCCCGCCACCAGGACGCCGGCGGAGGGAAAAGCAGCCCAACACAGGGCAGAGCGAAGCGAGCCAAAAAGAAACACTCACCGGCCTCATCCAACGCCTCGCCAAACCCCGCGAAGCCGCTACCGCCGCCGCCATTTCACACGGACCCGGGGGAAGGAACGAAGACGCATGCGCGAAAGCGCCGCTAGCGACTCAGCTACCCGCAAGGCACAGCGAGAGAGACCAATTACGCTGAGGGGGAGGGAGTCGTGGGCTGAGTGTGTGCGTGTTTACATGCGGGATTTCCCACCAAATCTCCCCCTCGTCCCACCATCTGAGCTGGCTGGGATAGGGCCAGGCCACCGAGAGCGTTTAGGGATAGAGCGAACCTGTTTGTTGTCCCCATCGGATATCCCTCTCATTCTCTCGGCTAATGGGCTGGCCCAGTGGGGGCCGCGTCCCCTGGTAAGTGACAGCGGCAGCTCTCCGCCGCGGCCCCTGCCCCGGGCTGGTAAGTGTCGGTTAGACAGTGGGAGAGCGCCATGGGGCAGCGCTCCCGTCCCGGGCTGCCGCGGGGCCGGGGCCTGCACGGCGGAGCAGCTTGCGGACCTCCGGGGCGGTCACATCAGCAGTTAAGAGTCCTGCCGGCGGGGAGGGGGTGGGCAGTAACAGCGGCAGTGCTGAGGCCCTCGGGGCGGACAGGCGCGGGGTGGGCCGCGCAGGGGGGATTCTGGTCGGAAAGCACGTCCGTGAGAAGTACCGAATTGCCGCCGTTCGAGGGTTTCGGGCAGAAAGCAGTACGGGTGGGTGCGGGGCTGTGGTGGTGTTGTGCGTACCGCTGACGCCGTGCTTCTCCCCTGTGCTTCGCAGGTGCTTCCATGAATAATTTAAATGACCCTCCCAACTGGAACATCCTGCCAAATCGACGGGATCCCGGGGATGAAGGCAGCAGATGGAACTACGCCCTGCTGGTCCCCATGCTGGGCTTGGCCGCCTTCCGTAAGTAGTGCCCAGGCCTCTCCAACTTGCCCGCTGGCTGAAGGAGAGCCTCTGAAGTAGTGCAGTGATACCCCATCTAGGGATTTCCTCTGGCCTGCTCTTTTATAGTGCTCTAAACAGTAAGTACGGCTTATAGCATTAAGGTAACGGCCATTTCTCACACATGGAGTTGATTCCATATTTAATAAGCTCCCATTTATAAAGCTGTCTCAGAAGAGTGGATGTACAATGTTCTAGAGAGGCCAAAGGTAACAACCCAGGGAGCTGCTGATGTATAATTTATGTGCTGGACCTGGAAGGTTCTCAGTGCAGTTACTGTATTGGAAACCTCCAGTCTGATTTCCTGTAACTATTTTCCCTCTTTAATCCAAGAAGTGCATGTGTTAACAATAAAAGACTTGGAAGATTTTTTTTTTTTACTTCATAGCACCATAGAATCACAGAATGGTTTGGGTTGGAAAGTACCTGAAGATCATCCAGTTCCAACCGCCCTGCCATAGGCAGGGATGCCTCAAACTAGACCATGTTGCCCAAGGCTGTTCCCAACCTGGCGCTGTCCAAATTCAAAAGAAACTTGATCATATCAAGTGACTTAAAGTGAAATATGGATCCACGGAAAAACATTTTGTGGGATGTGTGAATAGAAGTGAATATTACTGGGGAAGGCAGGAAAGAAAGTTCTTTACCACTTCATAGCTTCTTATTCACATAATTAATCATGCCCATCAATGTTATATGTGTTATTCTCATGTCTGAAGTCTCAATTTATATATGATAGGTTGGATCTGGACCAGAGAATGTCAAAAAGAAATAGAAAGAGAAAGAAAAGAATACTATAAAAAACATTCGTCTTTACAAAAAGACCTAGAAGGCAAATACCGGGATATAATCACAGAAAACCGTCGCACAGTTGCTCATTTGGAGCTGGAGCTTGAAAAGGAACGCAACAGAACCCTGAGTTACCGGGAAGCCCTCGTGTCCCAAAGTCGCAAACTAGTAGAAGAAAGAAGGATCCTAGAACAGGAGCAGGAGAAGTTAGAGCAAGAGAAACAAGTCCTTTTGCACTCAGGAGCAGAAGGTAGCTTGTATCAAAGTTGTCTGGCAAAGGAAGAAGACTGGCAAAAGAGAGCCAATAATTTACTAAAAGAATTTGAAGAGGGACTTAAAGAAAGACAGGACATCTACTGCAGTCTTGTGGTACCCAGAAGCCAGAGACTAGAAATAGAAAAGAATCTGCTAGTTAAAGCAGCAACTGATCCTGTTGCTATGGCTCTACATATGGAAAGTGGCTTAAAAGATATTTTCAAACATGATAACTACTGTGGCAATATGCTGAACCGAAATAAAAGTCAAAATGGAAAACTGATGTGGCTGTATCTGAGATATTGGGAGCTAGCTATTGAGCTGCAGAAGTTCAAGAGAGCAGAAAAGGCCATGTTAGGAAAACGATAAGCAGGGGAAGTAATGAGATTTCATGTGATCCACTGTGCATAGTAGGGACAATCACAGTTGTAGTCTGAAGCTGTTAAGTTCTACTGTGTTTCCGTTCCTCCTCCCCGTTGCACTTGCAAATGCATGGGACTTATGCAGAGGTTGCTGCCTTTCCTTTCACTGTCTAACAACAGATGCTCCAGTTAGCTATGCATGCTCTTAAACTCTGTGAGTGTGTCAGTTTTGCAGACTGCAGCATAGTAGAGATAATGCCAGCTTCCACAGGAATCAGAAGCAGCAGAACAGGACTCAGTTTAGAGTGACTGACCTAGTTGATGGTCATATTCCATCAACAGAGAAGTGTGATTTTTCTCCCCCAAGTGGGATAGCACATTGTGCTCCTTTTCGCTGATGTTTTACATGGTGTCTCAACACTTCTTTTTTTTTTTGTGTATTTTTTTAAGCAAGACTGATTTTGAGGCATACATTTGGAAGAGATGTTTGAGCAAGCTTCTTGCCACATAAATCCTACATGTATATACATACATTTATGTAAATATATATTTGTGAATGTGTGTGCATATAAGTGTATGCATTAGTATTTTGAGGGAGGGGAGTAATATATTTCAAATTAATCAGTCTTGCATTGTCTTCCAGCTTAATATACAAATCGTATTTTATGAATGAACTATCCAAAAGATGCTAATTAAAATAACACATAAAGAAAAAGATTGATCAAAGTCTCATTGGATCTTAGGATCCATGGTTGAATACTTGAGAGTGTATAAACTCAAAGTTATATTCTTATCATTCTGGACATATATTAAGAATACTTACTTTTTTTCTCAGTCAAGGTTTTATTTGTAAACCAACAGTGTGCCTCAGATATCACTGTGCCACTGTCTCTGCATCCCAGTGCACTGCAGTTCCTCCAACTGCAGGAACCTCCATGGGTTACAGCCATTGCTGGTTCACACAGGTCCTTTTTGTTATTTGCAGATAGAAACCTAAATGCAGCCTGCACTGATAGCCCCTATCTGCCTCTCTGACTGTGAGTTCTCCCAGAACTGAAGTAGACTTAAATTTTGAGCTTATGGTTCACTGCTTCACTTATGCATGACATTGGAAGTCTATGGACATACAAGCTTTGCAAACTTCTAAGGGGGTTTTTTAATTTTATTAACACAGGAAAACAAACATATCTAGAATTAAACAAAACAAGCAGAACAGTGCATTTCCATGCTTGAAATCCCTTAAAACTCTGAGTGTTCTGTGGGTCCCTGTAGCTGTAAAAAACACCTTTTTTCAAATGTGCCTTGTATTTTGGAGAGTAACTTTTTTCTTCCTCTTTTCGGAACTAGCCCTAGACTTCACAGGGCAGTGTTTACCTTTTTGTTTATAACATCTGGTCTTCTCTGTTACTTGCCTTTGATTAGTGTTGGTAGGCTGTCAGTTCTTCAGCAGTTCTTTACTTACTGAGAGCTAGACTCAATAAACATATTTTCTCTAGGCAATTAGCTGCTGCATGGCAGGGAAGCAATCCAGGTGAAGGCACATCCTGGTTTTAACAGAGAACTCCAGCAGATAAGGGTTTGGGTTTTTTTAGTGTTTCCTTATGGTTTCATTTCAGTATGGACACAGAAGACAGCAAATAAATACTTTGAAGTAGCATGTGCAACCTAATGCAGTTACTAAGCAAAAATATCTAACAGGAAACAGAATCCTTAAACAGAATACATGTTTGCCAGCTACTCAGTTTTCCACTTGTGATTTTGCTCCCCTTGGTAGTACTAATTGTATTGTTGTATTGATTTATTTGTCTCTTACGTACTGATTTTTTTTTTTTTTTTAATAAAATTGTAGTATTGGACAGACCTGGGAAAAAAACTTAAATAAAAATGCTGTCACAAATACCAGAGAAGCCAAAGCTTGTCTGGATGCCAAGCATATATGGGTTGGGAGAAGAGGCTGCAATTGAGTTACTACTGTTGTATGACAGCCTGAGGACAGCTGCTATAGCTGCCACATGCATATGCCCTTATTGCCCAATAGAACAGATTAGTTTGAATAACTTACCCTGTGTATAATTCCTCCAGGATATGGGAAGTGTCTGACCACACAGATGTGACACATTTCATACGTGCATACAGGCAGCTGGGCAACTTGGCTGACAAACAGCAGCCAGTGAATCAATGTCAATGTGTTTGAAAATCATGTCTTGGATTTGTACATATTCATTAGTTTTTAGTATTAAAAGGTCAGGCATTTTATGCTTCTTTTTTCTTTTTTTTTTTCAGTTTGTCATTGACTTTCAAAATGCCTAAAGAAAATGTAATCAAGAGGGTGAAATGTATGCTTTATACTTTTTTCAGTATAAATGTGTAAGTTGAAGCATCATACACTCGATTGTGCAGGGTTGGATGCAATGTAATACATGTTTGATACTTGCTTTCCCTTTTTGAGAGGTATTGATTATTTATACAATGAATTGTTGAACTATTTCTCATGGATACTTTGCAGATCATTATATAAAGACGGAAAAGTTATTTGAGAGGTTTTTTTAAAGTGTGTTAAGTTTAGAAGCACTGGTCCTGATAGCTTCTACCAAAACTCATGTTTGTTGATCTGTTATGTATTTGTAGAAACATTCCCCCTTTGTAAGTCATCATGTTGACAATTCTATCGTGAGCTTTATCTTGCCAAACAGCTCTTGTTCTGGATTGGTTGTTTCTTTGGAAATGCCATATATATGTAGAATGCAAGAATTATTTGTTTTCAGAATATTTCATGAACCCTTTTTTGTTATAAAAATTGTCACTCACCTGTTAAACGATAACAATTAATAAAAACCCCTACATATTTCTGCACTGGTTTGTAACTTGGGCGGGGGGGGGGGAGTATTTACTATTCCAGTTCCCCAAACAAATTGCACAATTTTGAGGTTTTAAAAATTGGACAGTTTTTAAATTGGCATGTAGAAAGTTTTGTCCTTGGTCCTGGGAAGAGAGTATGTTGGAAAGATTTTATCTATCTTAGGAAAGAAATGCATCGTTAAACAGGCAAGTGCACCAGCTTCGACTAAAGATGAGTGATGAAAGGTGACCATCCCACTGAAAGACTGGAGTAAGTCCTTCTGTTTGTTCTGTAGGGTACTCTGCCTTCCTTCAGGATCCCTCTGATGTATCTCTCATTCTGCACGTCAGCTCCTTTTAATTTCAATGTGGATTTTCTCTTGCTGCTCTCTGTGAGGAACTACAATCCAGCTGCTCTAGGACAGTGTTCAGACGCTCTGGAAGTCTTGTTTCCTTCATAAAAGATCCTTAGTCTCCTTGTATTTGATACATTCCTTCACATTTATCCATTTCTTACCATCGCAGCTAAGTCATCCCTCGTCCATACTTTGCAGGGCAGTAGCTGTGTTCATATGACTTTCTACATTTAGACCCAGGTAAGGAGACACCTTAAGATAACTTGTGCTTTTAATACAAGCAAAAAAACCCAGATGTTTGGTCTCTGTTGGGTGATATAGCTGCTGTCCTGGGTGCATGCAGCCCAGAGAAACACAAACTTCATGGAACTTGGGCTGAGTGCTAGAAAAGGGAAATCTCCCTCAGAAAGTGTTCTTAAAGAGAGGTGGGCAAAAAGGAGCAGCCTGGAGGATCTGGCTTTTCTCTTACTCCTTTTACCTAAACAAGAGATGCCAGAAGACTGCTGACATGACGTCTTGCTCAAAGGGATGCTGTGGTGTGGGAGTGACAGCTCTGTTCAAGCTCTCCAGAAGGGAAGGGTCTTCAGAAGCCACCCATTGCCTCTTGCTCTTCGAATCATGTTTTTGAGCACTCCTGCACGACATAGAGAAAATACTGAGTGTTCCTATGTGGGGTATACAAGGCAGAAGAGTGGTCAACAGTTCAGGTAGTATGGTAAAATCAAAGGAATTTAAGTTACTGCTGTGATAAAAGGATGAAGTTCAAGTTTACTCAATAGTTGCAGTCATGGTGCTGTATATGAAGCCTTTGCTTGTGTGCATGCCAAGGCCACTTAGTCATTAATTGACTGCCTTGTCCAGGAGCTGTCCAGCTAATGACTGCATAGCTGAGACAACAGATGGATCTGCAAAGAAGTAACTCACTGAAATGGAGGGTAGCTCGGCAGTGAGGCAATAACTGATCTGCCAGCCACTTCACAACAAAATCGACTGAGGGCTGTGGGAGCTCTCCCAGCAGCTGGCGCCACTCCAGCGGTTTCCCCAGCGAGCTCCTGCTAATAGGCATGAGCTCTGCTCTATAAAGCTGATAGACACTATCTGTATGATTAGATATATTGCTTAACCACTTGGGGTGAAGGATCCAGTGCACAGTGAGGGATTTCCCCAAGCAGTTCCTGTTGTCAGATAAAGAATTGACCAAAACGTGCATAATTTTATATAGTCAGTGGAAATCAGTCCTGCCTGTGCAAGACTGAGCATGTGGGGCTGTGTTTTGTTTATAGTTAAGAGGTGTCTTGAAGGAGATAAAAGAAACATGTAAAAGCTCAGCACCTGACCTAGACTAAGTTAAAAAGGCCTTGTACAGACAGACTTTCAAAGTACTGGTATTAGCGGAACTTTGACAGATGGCAACATGGGTGCTCAATAGTATCAGCTACTTTGATACTGAAATCAGTTTACATGGCAAAACTGAGAGATCTATCACAATCTGATCAACCATCTTAATACCCTTTCCATGGATTCTGACAACCAGAATGGCTGATGGGTGACAAAGAGGCCTTATAGCTCAGGATTCCCTGAGAGTGTACAGTCACTCCAAGTCATCATTCAATATGCTAGGAAAGACCACAACCCTTTTGGACAGTATTCACAGAAGTGTCAAGGCCTCCTACTGAGTGACACATGAGCATACCTTCTGGTTCCAAAGTAAAGGGAACTGCCTAAGCACATGGTCAGGTGAAACTTGGTCTGGAAGTGCCACCACTCATCTGGAATTGAAAAAGGATCACTACTATGTATAGTGCTAATGGAAACAACTGAAAGTAAATGGTGGCTCTGGAAACAAAGAGTGTGCACAGAGGGACTGTGAGATGTGCCATGATGGCCATTCGCTGTTGTGCACCCCAAGCAGTCCCATGCTCCAGGCTGATCCCAGCCTCAGCGGACCAGCTGCTGGAAAAATGCCTCTTCACCCTTCCCTTTATAAGTGCTCCTGCAGATCTGGGTCTGTATTTCTGAGACACCTCACCTCTAAACCAGAACGAAATCCTCGTCTAAAGCGTTTGGTGCTTCTTATTACTAAATACTACCTCCCCCTTGTGGCTGATGGCTCTTCTAGCCAGAGCCACAACAGCACTTGTGTTTTGTTCCCATGAGCTCCTCTTGGGCATATCTCTGGTGCTACATGCTCTCTGCTCCAAACGTGACTGGAGTGTAATAACAAAAAAGGATTGAAAAGACAATGGTGTTCAGTGATCAAGACAGAATGAACTTGTCTCCACTAAAGTGGGTATTGCAGTAGACCTCTATGCAAAGATAACATGCAGGAATTCAATGTAGTTCAGCAACCTGTTAAGGTCTCACTATACTACAGCACTGTAAAAGAACAACTGTAACAACCTTAGTTAAAGAACACTGTTTATTGCTTAATGAACATGGAAAGCAGTAACCTACAACTGTCAACATGTCCTGCTGCCTGCTAGAGAAGAGATGCATGTGATGAGAGAGATTTAATAGCACTTCACTGGCTAAGAAAATCAGGGTAACACTAGCCACCGTGAGATCAGGTAACTTGGTGCTGTCCACAGAAGCATTTCTACACCTATGCACCTTGCCTGTTTTTCCCCCTGAAGTGATCACAAAGATGAAATGCATTCTTCAAAGATGAAAGCAGTATTTTGGGGATCTTCTGGATGCGTGCAGTGCAACTTCAAGGACAGCACATCTCCCTCCACAGTGTCAACAAGAAGAGCAAAACAAAGAAGCAGCATGCTGCTGTTGGAGCTGACATTACTCCAATTAAATATTTTTATACAAAGCTGAAGTAAGTATTATACAAACTACCAGTATATACAAAATATAAA